TAAATGTCACCTGCATATCATTGTCATTGCCCTTTAACCCCTGGTCTAATTGGCCGCTTTTGAAAATGTTGATCATGACGAACCGCACTGCCTTAATTATGCAAACTTTGTGTTTTGAAAACGGGTTAGGATAAAACGCGGATACGGACGGACGGATGAATGACGGACGGATGGACGGATGAATGACGGACGGATGGCGACGAACGGACCGGACGGATGACATATATATGTCATTATATAGTTTGCGCGCAGCCGCGCAGGGCAGTTAGTGGCTTACGCCCTTCGCTGGTTGTTATACTTTAAAATAGTTTTGTATATACCGAGAAATCAATATTCCGAGTATATAAATACATAAACTGGGATGTCACACTGATAGCTTGTTTACATTTCCTGGAGCATCATGAAATCTTATGTTTAACCACGGTGGTTTAACCCATTAGCTGGCAATGCGCCCTTCCCTTGTCCAACGCCAGAAGATTTTATTCGTCAGTGGTATAGGCTACTGCCAGTAAATGGGTTAAGAAACCTATCTGCCAATGGCTCTTCTTAATTCATCAACACAGTAATGACCCCTACTTTAGTATTTATCCTGTCCAACGCCAGACGATTTTTAATACTCAGTCAGTGGTAGGGTACTGTCAATAAATGGGTTAACAAGGATAACAATAATAGGATGTTTCTGAAGGACTCGTTCAACACCCTGTAGTTTGTCTTTTGCTGTCAAAGGCAGCATTACTGCCCTGTGGGTAACCTAGTACTAATGAGTAATATTTTGTGCGGGGTTTATTGAGAACGAGAAATACAATATATGAGTAATATTTTGTGCGGGGTTTATTATACTAATGAGTAATTGATTTTGTGCGGGGTTTCATTGAGAACGAGAAATGCAATATATGAGTAATATTTTGTGCGGGGTTTATTGAGAACGAGAACTACAATATATGAGTAATATTTTGTGCGGGGTTTATTGAGAACGAGAAATACAATATATGAGTTTTTTTTTTTTTGCGGGTTTAGGGGTCAAATCGTGCTCATTTGATATGCAAAATTTATACTAATGAGTAATATTTTGTGCGGCGTTTATTGAGAACGAGAACTACAATATATGAGTAATATTTTGTGCGGGGTTTATTGAGAACGAGAAATACAATATATGAGTAATATTTTGTGCGGGGTTTAGTTGAGAACGTGAGAAATACATTATATGAGTAATATTTTGTGCGGGGTATATTGAGAACGAGAAATACAATATATGCATGAGTAATATTGTGTACGGGGTTTATTGAGAAGGAGAAATACAATATATGAGTAATATTTTGTGCGCGGTTTAGTTGAGAACGTGAGGAATACAATATATGAGTAATACTTTGTGCGGGGTTTATTGAGAACGAGAAATACAATATATGAGTAATATTTTGTGCGGGGTTTATTGAGAATGAGAAATACAATATATGAGTAATATTTTGTGCGGGGTTTATTGAGAACGAGAAATAAAATATATGAGTAATATTTGTGCGGGGTTTATTAAGAACGAGAAATACAATATATTCATAACCCTTTATTATTGAAAATATAGATTAATTATTTGATTAACGATTCCCCGTTTATTTTGATACCGAAACATTAGAATAATTACGTAATTTCCTTCACTGCGTATCACCGTATCCCTGTATCATTGAAACTTAATATTTACCCAAACACTCGAATAATTACGTCATTTCATTCACTGCGTATCACCGTATCCCCCCAAAATAAACAGTATCAGAAATGGACGGGTATTCTATAATCTAGCCCTTATATGGAGTTTAATTTTAAAAATGATATATTGTACCAATTCACACTGTTTTATATGTAGATATTTGGCCGCATAGACGATATGCATACCGTACTGAATTACATTCAGAGTGCCAGGCGTAGTGATCTGTAGTTGATACCACTCCATTATATAAAGTTTAACACATTACTAACAAACGTAGTGAATTTTTAACGAATGCTAGCCGTAGCGTTTTTAATATAAGTGTATAAAACGCCGTGTTCAACAGTATAGTGGCGCAATTGTTGATTATGTGAGGTTGGATTATGTGCTGATCAAGTGAAAGATCATATTACAGACGCGTATGGTATACATGATATTTTCCTCTTTCGTGACTTGACTATATTTAGCTACATTATATTTTCAGTTAAGTTGAAAAATATATAGTGAAATATGATAAAAAATGCATGGATTTCAAAAAGTTGCAAATTTTTTTTCTAAAAAAATTATCAAAAATTTTCCGCTAATCACGGAATTTTTTATGTTCCCTTTGGAGTATTTCGCCGTGAAATCGCAGGAAATGGCCATTCCAGACATCTAAAATTCAAAATTTCCCTGGGAAGCATACCCCCGGACCCCCCTAGAATGGGTGGGTCTTAGAGCAGGACTAGTCAAATTTCGCTAGCTACGCCACTGATAAAACGTAATAGTAGCGATGGATAGTATCCATCGCTACTACATTGGATAGGAAGATTGTATGTTATCGGTTTGCTATGATATATGCTAGTAAGTTAATTAAGTGTGTTTTAAACAATATAAAGTACAACTTGTCTTTATCTCGGTGGGTAAACTGTTCGAACGTTTTACTGATCTAATATAGTAAGAGTTTTTGAAGTAATATCTGGTTTATATATATCAATATATGTAAATGTTATCAACAGATCGATCTGAGTTCTCTTCTGTTGCATTATTACGTTCGTGTTTACTTTGAAGTGTTATTAATTGTTTATTTATCCTTCTTACTTTCGAATAATTTGATGAACGTTTCGGCGTAGGTTCTCATTTCGACAAATTCGCACATTTTTGCCAAACTTCTGCTTCTTTGCTGTAGTTCACAGCATCTCTCGGTCTGTCGAGATGGATCGTCGTTACCCAACCTGTAAGACAAACAGGCTTGTGCGAAAAGATTTGAATATTTCTGAACTTGCTAAGTGCAGGGTAGCCTTTATGGATGATTTTTTGTGTTTCCAGTAAATATTCCTGCGCCTTTTCGATGTTTATGAGCGTGTCGGAATCGGGTAGCATATCACCGGAGAGGGAGCAACCCAAGAAAAGCAAGGCTTTGTTGATATAAACCTTTTGTTGATATTCTGCTTTTGTGGTACCGTTCCCTTGAATTTCGTTCAAGTGACTGCTTGCGGTGTCGTAATATTTTTCTGCCAGTGCCTTCCTCATTAAAGAAGACAGTTCCTTGAGATTCTTTGTTTTCATTGCCAGAATGTTCTCCAGTGTCGCAATTTGAACATAAAACGCTGCGGATATGATGCAAAATAAACGGTTTTTTAAATCATTCAAACTTCCCTTTGCAATTTTGTAGCTTTCTTCGTAGTTTTCTTTGCAACGTTCCATAATGGAGTGAAGATATTGTTCCATTACTTTGAAACGCGTCTGATCGGTACTGAAAGGTAGGGTCTTCGTATATATTGATTAACATTGCTCCTCTTTTCTCTCTTGTAAATAAAGTATATATTCTTCAAAACTTCTCATTTTACATATTGTATTGATTGACTGTAATAATTGACTATGTGATTATCACATGAACAGTAACTAGAGGCCTAATTAAAAAGTCTACGAAGATTTTAAGCCCAAAATCTTTTAAAGATATATTTTAAGTAGCAGATTAAGCTTTTTTATACATGGGAAAAATTAAATAAAAATATATAATATATAAATTTGTAAACAAATATATAATATATAAATTTGTAAACAATAACTATTTTGAAATCGACAAGTTGTCAATTTCAAATTACTGCTTTCAAATTAACACTAACAAAATAAATACATTTGCTAGTTAAAACTAGTAATGTTTGACGTGAATTTTTAAAAGCAATGACCAATGTAATGCATGAGTCAATTCCTGGAGTAAATACCCCCCCCCCCGGAATTTGCCTGATAGACAGTTCACGGGGGTCAAGTTATTATAGTCGCTAAGGACCCCGGGGATTTGACAAATGTTTGTCCAGAATCCCACCCGCAAATTTTAATTAAGGCAGCAAAACCTACTTTCAGGCACGCATGTGGACGCGCTGGTCGTATTCATTGTAATCTCAATTCAGTAAAAAAAAGGAACGCGACTATTGGGGGGCAAATTCAAGTCCCGGATGTGTATTCGTGTTTCTATTGGTGACGAGTTTCAAATTAGCCAATGAGAGCACTATTTTATATCCGGGACTTGAATTTGCCCCCCATTAGCTGCGTTCCCAATTTTTAAACTCGATGCCTCCTCTAGTGTTATTTATAATCTCTATGGTCAAGGTGGCGTAAAATTTATTGTCAGAATAAGCGAAAATTATAACCTGTGCCATGCAAATTAAAGTACAACTAATGAAGGTTATGATTTCATTGTTTAAATACTTTTATAACCACTCTTATATTCCGGCCATAGCTGTTTAATACTATAAATTTTTTTTTAGAACCACTGAGTATTTTAATAAAATACAAAACAAGTGAAACTCCAAAAATGAAACAAAACAAGTGACAATACAAAATAAGTGAAACTCTCGAAAAGAAAATATTTTCTTTATATTTTCTCTGAAGAAAATATTTTCTCAAGTGAAAATACAAAACAAGTGAAACTCTCAAAAATGTTATCGATCTTATAGTGCTGTATTTTACTAATACAGCACTATAAGCAAAAACAATGTTGGCTATTTATTAGCGAAGCTCGGAAACAATGTTTGAAGTCCGAAGTCTGAAG